GCCTTTAAAGTTGTCCAAATTAAGTTCTTAGCAATGCATATTACTAATCAAAAATTTAGTTTTGATATATTTACAGTAGGAAATTTACCAAATATCTTCATGGAACACGATCTTTACTTAATGTCCTAATGATTTTTGGCATAAAAGAAAATCAATCATTTTGACCCATACAATGTATTTTTGGCTATTGCTACAAATATACCCCAGTGACTTAAGATTGGAGACATGAATAAATGAACTCAACACAGCAGTAAAACATGTCGTGGAGGAAGTGTGTGCTAGTTGAGAATCCACTCTGCGTTCACTCAAAACCAAACCTAGAAACTTCACAGCAGCTCTTGATAGGCCATTGTCTAGCAGATAAGCAAATTAGGTTGAATGCTGTTCCTTCATCATCAGATATTTATTGAATAATTAGTTAAATAATCCAAGTTTGTCTGCGAGTTCACGTACGAGGTGAGGGGTGTGAACAGATCAGCAGTTCATTTGTTACATTTGTGTGTCCAAATTTAATCGTGGTGCCTTTTTGTATTTGTTAGGATCTGCACCGAGGGTCAGTCTTTAAGTGCCATTGTGTTGGTTTACTTGGAGTTGTAGGCGGCCACTCGTTGGTTGAGGGGGTTTTCCGGAGACTTTGTCCACTCCTTCTTGAGCTGTTGTTTTAGCTGGGAAAGTCGCATATTGGGGTTCTCCATTTTAAGGCGTGCCATGTTTGCTTCTTCAAACGCAGCGTAGGCAGCTTTCATACGATGCTCAGGGTGTCGATCCAGGTCTTCCTTAGTGCTGAAAAACAAAGGCATGAACCACATGTAGAACAACATCATAGGCAGCTTTCATACGACGCTCAGGGTGTCGATCCAGGTCTTCCTTAGTGCTGAAAAACAAAGGCATGAACCACATGTAGAACAACATCTAGCTTTAAAAAAAGGCAAAAAAAAAAAAAAAGGTTATTGCGTCAGTACCGGTCAGATCTATATAGTGAATGTGTTAAATTATGTTCTTAGCCTTTCCTTCATGTGACTGGGTGGCCCAGAGAGAAAATTATTTTTTTGCACAACATGGGATTTGTAATTATAAAACTCCCCCAAAATACACTGGGACCCTTATTTTGAAATGTCTATGTTTTATACTTCCAGCAGCTCATTCAAAGGATTAAGGCTAGAAGGGATAGAGCAAAAACTACTGGGTATGTGCACATCAATACAGCAGAATTTTTCTCGCACTGTACAAGGGGTAGGTTTAGGGTTGGGGTAGGTGTAGACGTTAATAAAACACAATCTAATAGGTAGAAATTTTTATTTATTGCTAGCTTCCGCTGCAACCCTTCTAAGGCTAGAATAGAGCAAAAACTACTGGGTATGTGCACATCAATACAGCAGAATTTTTCTCGCACTGTACAAGGGGTAGGTTTAGGGTTGGGGTAGGTGTAGACGTTAATAAAACACAATCTAATAGGTAGAAATTTTTATTTATTGCTAGCTTCCGCTGCAACCCTTCTTGAAACAACCCATTGAAAGCTGTGGGAGAAAAAAATATGCACTCTTACATCAATCTACATCATATTACAATATAAAATCATTGCCATAATTCATCAACAATAAATCACAAGCAATCTCTTGTGTAAATAAATAAATAAACAAATGCCCGGAATGAATTGATTGCAAACTGCTCTGAAACGGAGAGCCTGTAGAACGTGCAGCACATACATTTATTAATTAAATTATAGGCTTTTGAATTTTAATAATTGCATTAGGCGCATCATGATTCCTATTTTCCACTTAAAATTCAAGGCATCTAAAATGATAGTTAAGCTTTTTGTTGTACCATTTAAGATAATAAATATTAACAAGTCTTAAGATATTTAAAACTTTATCACCTTAAAAAAAAAAGAAGAGATTTTAAGACATTTTCTAAGACGTTTTTAGAACAGCACTTAAGAGCACAACAATCTGAGAATTGTGACTCTTACAAATGTAGACTTTTTAAAAAAATGTATACTGTATGTAATGTTTGTAAAACAAGAGTCTCCTAATCACTCCAAACATGTCTTTCTCTAGAGAACAGGATACCTGAGAACTGCGATGGCATCCTCAATGGTTTGGGCCTCCACCGTGCCTTCTTCTGGAACTATCTGATTGACATTCTCCTCAAGCGGCATCTCCAAGTGGCTTTTCTCTGTAGATTCGAAAGGATACAGAAGACTAAATGAGAAAACCGGAAAGGCTTATTCAAAGCAAAACAATAAGACAGGCCAAATTTTACGCTTAATGTGAAAATAAGTGCATCTTGTTTTATTCATGCACACTGCATACAAAAAAAAATGTGCATTGCAATCAGTGTGCACTGTACTAGGTATGAATTTTGACCAGCAATACAATTTATTTTGTTGTGACTCCTGATGTAAATAGTGCTTAATGTCAGCATGAAATGAAAATTCACTGCATTTATTTTCTAAATGTAAATGTTACAATGTGAACCATTCTCCATTGTATGAATCTCATTTTTTATTTATTTACTTATTTGACCGTGTCATTTTAAATCCCAATATCATAACTTCTTCGATGTTCTGAAGAAAAATGACAGACTTCCCTCTGGACTTAAACCCTGCCCCTTTCTTAAAATCAACTGAAAGCATGCAATCACATCCGCCTCCATCCAATGAACCATCAACGGATTGAACCAAGTCCCTGCTTGTCATTTTTTCCTTTTTCGATAACCTGTTTTATTCAAATTTACACCATAATATGAATTACGTTTCACTGTGACTTTAACTTGTCAGGGTTTCCTTAACAATTGGAATGATACAGTGGGAGGTGCTTTTGGAACGTCAGAAATATAGAATGAGAAAAGTGTCTAAAAATATAGCCTATATTGACGAGGAAAGTCCACTGATGAGTTACCAGCGTAAGCCTGTGTGCAAAGGTCTAATGTCTAATTCTAAACTTTAAAATACATTTATTTTTAGTTATTTTAACTACAAATTTAAATAAAACTGAAAAGATAATGAAAAGGCAATTATACATTTACACACCTAAGGATTAGGCCTATATCAACCAAAAAAGTAACTGTGTCCTCTACTTGGTTCCTTCTCATAAATGAGTAAGCGGCATTTAAAACAATTATAAACATATAATACACACTTTTTCTCAATATTTAATTACAGCTTCAGATGCATAATATTTTCATCTCCTTCAAGCAGGATACACAAAAAGCACGTTCAACTCGGACGGTTGTCGTGGTAATAAACACCACGTGTGGGCGCTTGATGCGCATCTCCTATATGAAAAGCATTTTAGGGGGCCCTTGGCTTTTGGGGGCCCAAGGTGGTCACCTACCTTTGCCTAATGGGTAAGTCCGCCCCTGATAATATTAATAACCAAACAGTTTCAGTTCCCACTGATTTCCTTCGCTTTGTTGCCTATATGATGGAAGCCAACGTAAACCAAAACTGTTTGGAGACAAATTTTTATTTTTTACATTGCACAGAAGAAAGAAAGTCAAACAAGTTTAGAACAACATGAGGGTGAGTAAATGATGATGCTTTTTAGGGGAGACTGTTACTTTAACAAAAAATTAATGCGAGAACTGAGTCAGTATGATGCAGTGCAGTTCACCCAAAAATAAAAATATTCTGGCATCATATATTTACCTTTATGTCATTCCAAACCTGAATGACTGTCTTTCTTTGAGCAGAACAAAGAGCAGATATTTTTTTGGGAGGAAAGGGGGTATTTTTATCCAGACAATAAATGAATGGGGTCCAAAACAACATCAAACCCAGCTGACTTACTGCATGGACAAATTTGTCAGAAGATAACAGAAGAAACCGTCATACAGGTTTGGAACGAGATGAAGGTAAGAAAATGATGCCAAAATATTTTTATTTTTGGGTGAACTATTCCTTTAACACATTTGCAAGCTGCATTGCATCGTACTGATTCAGTTCTCAAATTAATTGTTTAATTTGTTAGCAACTGGTAAATGGTTAAATATTATTCTAATTAAGATTATGATTATGCATGTATTGCAACAGGGCAGTCAATATATTAAATAACATTTTCTTTCACTCGATACCTTTATTACATGTAGACCAGTTGCAATCTGGTCTGCTGACACTAAACATGGCATAAAATAGCTTAGCAGACATTATAAACAGCCAATCACTGCATATCAGTCAATACATTCTCCCATGGACCTCATCCAGGCCTAATGTCAAAATCAAGCTCCATTACTGACAACGAACACTCATCAATATGCGGCATAATTGATAGAGGATATCAGAACTTGCGTGACGGTGTTAGTTTAAACCAGTCGGCTTCAGCTTTCGTTTTGTTCGTGGGGAGCTCATTTCCTGAGCAACCCTAAACCTGACTTTCAATGTATTAATCTACTGTGTGCTACTCAGACTCACATGTCTGCAGCTTTAACGAGGAAGACAGCTGTGTCATTTAGATACAAGATTAGCAGCCAACGGCGGGAATGTTAGACAACATATCATGGAAAACGTGGACGTGGAGGGAATCAATTTTCTGTGTGTTTACTACAGAACTCAAAAACATTTCCATATTATCATGTCAATTAGGACCAGGGGCCAAAGTTTTGTCTGGTTAACATGGGTAGTAGCATCTTTCCACTTTGATGTTTTGCATGCATTTATATGCTACAAAATGCATTTATAATGTTACAAAAGTTTTCTATTTTAAATAAATGCTGTACGTTTGAGCTTTCTGTTCATCAAAGAATTCTAAATAAGAATGTATTACAGTTTTCACAAAAATAATTAAGCAGCATAGCTGTTTTCAACATTGATAATAAGAAATGTTTCTTGAGCACAAAATTAACATATTGGAATTATTTCTAGAATGGTTGCTGAAAATTCAGCATTGTCATCACAGGAATAAATTGTATTTTAAAATGTATTAAAACATAAAAAACAGTCATGTTGTATAATAAGAATATTTCACAATATTACTGTATTTTTGATCAAATAAATCCAGCCTTTGTGTGCACAAGAGCCTTAAAAAACATTTTAAAATGTTACCAAACCCAAATTTTTTAACTTTAGTGTATAAATGCAAAATATTGTATTATTTCATAATAGATATTTTTACAGTGACACATTTTTATTTTGAAGAACCCAAAATGACTTTTCCTGTGGCTTCTAACAGATAGCAATCTCTCACCAGGTACCACTGAATACTTCAATTAGGACAATTTCCCTGTCAAAGTCTGCAGAGAGAAAGATCTTTACTGCCACCTTGTGTTTATGCTACACTCCATACACAAGGCACTGTTGTACTGTATTTCACTTCTGATTTCATAGAAGGTACTGCCAATTAGCTGTGGACACTAGAGACAAAAATCTAATCACAGTACTGATACATTTCATGACATAATATTGAAGGCCTGCTGGAACTATTTTATCATTTGACCCTGACAACATATCAGTTGCCATGCTCTTAAGGACATAAGTTTAGCCTACCCTCCTCTGCTCTTTCTTCATGACATGTTTGTTATTATCTTGCCAGAGTGCGTCCTCCAGCTCCTTCTGTTTGCGTGCATCAGCGACTGCTTTGACTTCGGCCTTCCGGGCCCTCGCTGTGGCCGATTTGGAATTCTCACCCTGGAATTTCTTCGGCATTCCTGGTACTTCCCTGCGGAGGTAAGGTTGATGACCATAATGAAAGTGTCAGAATAGGTGCTGAGATCACATAGGATATTAATGTGTGGTGTATAAACAGATTCTAATGAGAGAAAGACAAAAACTAAACACATGGTAATGATGACCAGAGGCTGAATCATAATATTTTTTAGGACTAGATTGAGGATTATTGGGCTCTCTATTGGGGTTTGAGCATCTTCTGATACACAGTGTTCAAGAAATTTATGTTCGTGAGTAATACATTTCACAGTAAATCACTAACATCAAATAACAGAAAAATGAAGGGATTTAGAAGGCCCTTGTTCTCACAGTATTAACATAATCTGGAATTACTGGAGAGAGTTAAACCCCAGATATTTATTTTTTAAGTACCGTTACTTCCAAAAGAGAAGGAAATTCTGGAAAACAGTTGCTGCTTTTCTTCCAGCCACAAGCAAAGAGAAAAAAGAGAAAGATAGCAATTAAAAACTGTCTATATGTCTATTTATCTATCTATTTTATGTCTGTCTATCTAGTCTATCTATTATCTATCTATATAGAGAGATACAATTTTAATAATTATGATTATAATTGCGTGTATGTATGTCTATACAAATATAATACACAAATTCAATTTCCTAAAATAAAGTGTTAAAAGGGAAAATTCTGGAACTGTAGCAACTAGGGATGTCAATTTTCGATCATTTCCATGATCGATCGTCGTTTAAATTAACGATCAATGAATCGATTAATCGTTAACCTTAATGCTGCAAAATGTCTATGCAGCCCGGCATGACAGGATGTGCAAAAGTTACTCAAAAAAAAAAAAAAAACGCACAAAATTTACATTGGAATTATTTCTAGAATGGTTGCTGAAAATTCAGCATTGTCATCACAGGAATAAATTTTATTTTAAAATGTATTAAAATATAAAAAACAGTCATGTTGTATAATAAGAATATTTCACAATATTACTGTATTTTTGATCAAATAAATGCAGCCTTTGTGTGCACAAGAGCCTTAAAAACATTTTAAAATGTTACCAAACCCAATTTTTTTAACTTTAGTGTATAAATGCAAAATATTTTATCATTTCATAATAGATATTTTTACAGTGACAAATTTTATTTTGAAGAACCCAAAATGACTTTGACTTGTTGTCATTTTCCTGTGGCTTCTAACAGATAGCAATCTCTCACCAGGTACCACTGAATACTTCAATTCGGACAATTTCCCTGTCAAAGTCTGCAGAGAGAAAGATCTTTACTGCCACCTTGTGTTTATGCTACACTCCATACACAAGGCACTGTTGTACTGTATTTCACTTCTGATTTCATAGAAGGTACTGCCAATTAGCTGTGGACACTAGAGACAAAAATCTAATCACAGTACTGATATATTTCATGACATAATACTGAAGGCCTGCTGGAACTATTTTATCATTTGACCCTGACAACATATCAGTTGCCATGCTCTTAAGGACATAAGTTTAGCCTACCCTCCTCTGCTCTTTCTTCATGACATGTTTGTTATTATCTTGCCAGAGCGCATCCTCCAGCTCCTTCTGTTTGCGTGCATCAGCGACTGCTTTGACTTCGGCCTTCTGGGCCCTCGCTGTGGCCGATTTGGAATTCTCACCCTGGAATTTCTTCGGCATTCCTGGTACTTCCCTGCGGAGGTAAGGTTGATGACCATAATGAAAGTGTCAGAATAGGTGCTGAGATCACATAGGATATTAATGTGTGGTGTATAAACAGATTCTAATGAGAGAAAGACAAAAACTAAACACATGGTAATGATGACCAGAGGCTGAATCATAATATTTTTTAGGACTAGATTGAGGATTATTGGGCTCTCTATTGGGGTTTGAGCATCTTCTGATACACAGTGTTCAAGAAATTTATGTTCGTGAGTAATACATTTCACAGTAAATCACTAACATCAAATAACAGAAAAATGAAGGGATTTAGAAGGCCCTTGTTCTCACAGTATTAACATAATCTGGTATTACTGGAGAGAGTTAAACCCCAGATATTTCTTTTTTAAGTACCGTTACTTCCAAAAGAGAAGGAAATTCTGGAAAACAGTTGCTGCTTTTCTTCCAGCCACAAGCAAAGAGAAAGAAACGTGTGATAGCAATTAAAAACTGTCTATATGTCTATTTATCTATCTATTTTATGTCTGTCTATCTATTTATTTATTATATCTATATAAAGAGGTACAATTTTAATAATTATGATTATAATTGCGTGTATGTCTATACAAATATAATACACATTCACACATTGTTTTTTTTTAGTCCTGACAGCACGCGTATCATTTGACTCGTGGCTATTAGATTTAATTCTCTAAATTTCCTAAAATAAAGTGTTAAAAGGGAACATTCTGGAACTGTAGCAACATCTTAATTCTACTTTTCCTTTTCAGGAACATTCTCGTTAGCTTTTTTGCTAATCACTCTGGTTTCAGAGAGTGACCGTTTTTACGTTCAAGATTGTATCGGACACTGCCATTTGAACAATGAAAGCAGATATAGAGGAGGACGTCTTAAACATCTCGTTTTATTATTCGAAGTCATTTTCAGACACCGAATCTAATATATAATGTAGTAGCACCAACCTTTTCCTCCGCCAGCCTGCTGGGGTGTTGTTCGCTCTTCTTCTCAAGCCGACGCGACGCAGTTGCAGGGTTTCATTTAGCACCACCTGGAGGTTGTGGCCCGTTTTGTCAACAAGAAGGCTACAGAAAAATCGAAATATATGTGGTACCACCATAGACTATATAAAAACGGGTACCACACAGAGACACTGTTACCAGGCTATTTACTCCTTAACCAGCAAACAGTGGGGTCCAAAGGTCTTTATGCTACTGGAATCAAATGCCATGTGCATTCAATGCTTTATGTTAATAGAATTAGCAAAACAATTTAATTGTAACTTTTTTATTTATTTGTTTATTTTTTAATTTCATATTTATCTTATGAGCATAACAGTCTATTTAGTTTGGACTTGTTATACGGATATCCAGCATAATTTGAGAATGTTTAATTTCAGTGGACTCAAGAAAATCTTAGAAATTATTTTTTTTTTATTTACTTATTTGACCTAGAAATAGTACAAAATCTCAAATATTTAGTCATTTTTTAAAACAAAATTACAAAGCTTTATGTTTTTTAGCTACATTGAAAAATACCAGACATTAGACCCCACTGTATTCATATAAAGAATAAACAAAATAGAATAGTTATATATAGTTATACTTTGCTAAATTATATCAAGGTACATTCTGTTCAGTGCATATTAACACACACACACACATACATGTTGTTTTATATAATACATTTATACATAAATATATTTCATTATATCACACTTCAAAATGTGTCTACACAGTATTTTAGTTTTATTAGTTTTAGTTAGTTTAGTTTAAGGGAAATGTTGCTTTGGCAGCTAGCTGAAAATTTTTTATTTTTATTTTTTATTTTATTTAATTTCAGGCAACTGATATTTTTATGATTTTAGTTTTATTTTTACTACGTATAATAACTCTGATACAGTGGGGTCCAAAAGTTGAGATAATCAGTGAATATCATTCTATTTTCTATTTTTCTAATTTAATATGCATTTTTCCATAATAATTTTTCACTTTTCTGTATTTAGTATGTATAGCATGTGCTTTTGCATGTACAATGTACCCCACGAGTACTGATCAACAAAGCTATGAATATCACTTGTATACTTTCAATTCCGATATTTAGTTTGCATAAAATATGTGCATATTAATTTTTTTATTATAACATTTTTAAGCTTTAGATTTGTGTAACACTAAGATTGTTTGGTTCTTTCTGTAGCTCCTCTATACTGGAATAGTGATCTTTGCTCCTGCAGTCATCTTGAATCAGGGTTAGTGAAATCGACTGATTTGCACTTTTTTAAAACGGTTTCATGGCTTCACGTGTCTATTGCATCTCAATTAATTAGTGGACAAGTTGGATCCCGTATGACTGGTTGCAAGTTTTTTTGCACTTTTGTACTGTTCTCAACGACCTTTTCTTCTTTTCTGAATCAAGCCACAGGCCTAAATATGTGGGCATCTCTCTTCTCAACTGGACTCATCTGCACATTTTACACGACAGTGGTAGGTGAAATCTTTCCAGATCTGAATCTATATAAAAAAAAATCAGTGCCACTTTTGCTCAGTAATGAGTGAGCAGAGGCCGGCGGGCTTGAGAACGGCACGGTCGGCGGGCTTGTGGCAACCACATGTGGCGACCCTGGCCTGGACTCCACTTCGTCCACGGTGAAAGCCGATCCGGCGATCCTCAGTGTGAAGTTGATGTATTTCCTCAGCGACCAGCACGGATCAGC